ACGCTCACTCTTGTGGCAGATTTCTGGCACAGGAGGACTGAGTCCTGGCAAGCTCCATGAAATCAAGTCACTGATACCATCATCCCTCATGTATTTGGGAAACTTCCAGCTTGTGGAAAATTGGTCAGGCTTTGATATAGTCCTTTACTCTGTCTCCTTTGTTTCTCCAGCTTGTCTTACCTTTATTACTAGCCTAAAAAGCAATGAGAAATAAGATCTGTAGGAGTAAACCTTTTTTATGAGTGTAGAAGAACAATGCCTTCTCATGCCTAGGGAGTGGTTGAGCTGCCACAATCAAATATTGTGAATTCCTTACTTCAGCTGATGTAAGTGTCCTCTGCCTGAAATAATTTTAAAATTTAACAAACTCTTATTTAGAAACTGTAATTTATTATACTTAGCTACCTAATTCAGAAGGAAAAAAGCAGTCAGACTCTAAACCAGTATGTTTTCTCTCAGCTGGTTCTGTGGTCTAAAGAAAATAGTCAGAGGGCTTGTCCAGGGATTTCCATGGGCCACATCTCTACTTTAAACTGAACTGCTCCCTTTGTATCAATCAGTGATCAATCAAATAATGATTATACCAAGAAAGCTGCTATTGGTAATACCTTAAATCTAGCTCATGCAGGTTTTATTGTTCCCTTATTTTCATGTAGTCTCATGGAGAAAATGATGGCTTTCAGGTTTTTTTTCAGAGAAGAAATGACGGTAAGCCCTTGCGCCAGCTGAAATATGTTGGATTCCTTTTCTTAATAGGATGAAGTTAACGTTATGTTGAAATAATTTCATCACCTTGAAGGTTTTAGAGTTTAGGGAAGAAAACTGCTTTAAGAGAAAGAGGTTTTACTATTACATCAGCAGAATTTGAAACATAATCTGAGTATGCTTTTTTTTTTTTTTTTTTTTTTTTTGTGAAGCCAACAGCACCGATTGTTCATTCTCATACAAGATAATATCATGATATGCCTGTTATGTGTTTTACTACTATCTAATGTAAGACTGTCTGCAATAGAGATGCCAAATCTATCCCTAGGCAGGAAGTAGTATTTCGATGTTGAACAACTTGTCATAACAGCCATACTAATCACGGTGTATGTTCTCTATCTACCTAATCAAATTCTTGCTATATATCCCAGTGATGCTGTGTGATACTTACCACAGGTTTTTGGTTTAGAGGACTGTTTTTCTTAAGATTAGAAGAGAGAGTATGAGCTTGATTGAAATAGTTCATCCTCTTCAAGATTACACAGTACTTACCAAGATTGATTCTATAGTTAATGAATGCTGTGGTCTACTATGATCTGGTCTGGAGGAGCAGTTGGTTTGGTTGGCAGTTACGAAAGCGCTGTCTTGAGTTTGCTTTTGTCCAAGCTGTTTTCTATCACTGTTTTCAATAACTCTTCAAAACTGATTTTTCAAGGATACGCATTGTTTGGCTGAATTGCAATTCAAGAGTAACACCACCATATTCAATTGAGTTTTATTTCTGTGGAAAACATACAAACGTGCTGTGATATGCAAAAAAAAGTCAACGTTAATTAACACTTTTCTGCCTACATGTTCTCCAAAACCCTGAGATGACAGAGAAATTGGATATGTGATACCAGGAGTGAGGATTGAACCAAACAAACCCTTCCTCAGGAGTGTCTTCTTATGCAAGTATATCCTATGCACTGCAGGTTGTCCTTTCATAGACTTTTTTTCCCCAATATTCCTTTTTTTGTAATGTTCACAAAAATGAATATTACGCTCTTTGATCTAGTAAATATGGATGTTTCTCCTCAACTTCCCCTATTTTATTTCTAAGGAAATAATACATTCTTTTCTGTTTAATAAGTGATGTTATTAACCTCCAATTAAGAACATTTTGGTTTTTAATTCAACATTTTTTTTCAGATTTAAGACATCTGAAAAAAATAGTGTGTCTCTACATATATGCCACGCTTGCGAAGTTGTGATGAAAATAAGATTAAAGAAGAAATCATTGACAATGGAGTGTTTCAACTATTGAAGTGCTGGGGTTTTTTTGGTGGATATTTGGTGGATATATACACAACTTGCATTTTTGCAAAACTGGCTAAATTCCCTTCCACATTGTATACTAAACCTCCACAGGTATAGATAGAAGAAAAAGATTCCCTGTTATTTAACATACTCGGTTTTCTGCATTTATCTATTAATGTTTGATCTTTTGCATGTGAATTGTATACTTATTATACTATTGTAAGGGCCTTTTCCCTTAGCTATCATGCAGAACTCAGTATATTTTAGTAGCTGAGATCATACCAAACTCATTTCCATTAAAAGCTATCAACTCAACTCCTCCTCCCCAGCTACTTGACCCAGGCTCCTTCTGAACTGTTCAGCTGTGGAAACAACTCAAAAGGAAACAGATAATGATGGTAAACTGGGGTGTCATGGTTCTCTTTATGTATGGCCATTGTAATATAGATACAGCAGGCCAACAATGACTCATCAGTAGCACCAAGCCTGCAATTTTGCTGTGTTTGCAATTTCAAGGAAGAAAAGCAGCTCACAATTACATGTATTAAACTTTCAGATGATGCAGAAATTATGATGTACATCATTTATATTATCAGTCAAACTATAGGGAGAGAACGTCAGGTCTTTATGTGGCCCAGGTGCACATTTCTTATAATTTAATCAGCACAAAGCACCCTCATTTCACCAGAGGACTCTAATTCATGCTGTGAAAACCACACCATGCCCTCTGTCTTTCCCCCACTGTAGTCAGTAAATTACAACTAACGATTCATAACTGTTACCTGCATTTAATCTAGCGCCCTTTTTGGCGAGTTCAGCCAGCTCTGCTCTACAGCCTCATAACGTTATACAGAACACCATGAATTATTTTCAAGGAGATTATGGATATCAAAAGGGACTGCTTTAAAAAAAAAGCAAACAAATAGCTAGCAATTTGGTTTTTCCAAATGCATGTGGGAAATGCATTCATGCTAATATCTGAGAATGAAGTCCCTCAGGTCAGCAAGGATGCATTGGTGGTGGGGAAGAGCCAGCTACCTGTCTGCTTTCCTCTTTGTTTCTTATTGTCTGCCTTTCTGCTCCCTCTCTTTTCCCCACTTTGTCACAGGCCAGGGAATAAGGTAACAGGCTGAGGAAGCTGCCATGATGGAGGAAAATCAGCTCACCTCTTGGCCACATTCTGCCAGCAAAGTCAAATTTGGAAACCCAGGAGGAGCGAGTGGGGGCAGAGGGATGACCTGAGTTAATATCCTGGGCAGTGAGAAGCATTTGCTGGGTGTAGAACTGTGATGTAGGGCTGAGGGGAGGGTTTTGGGGGTGGCAGCGTGTACGTGTGTTTGTTTTTCTTACCTATAGTGTGTCTGTCAAGAGCTTGCTGTGAGTTATGGGTATGTGCTTATTCCTCCTGGTGGATTCCTATGAGGTGTGTTAGGAGGGGGCAGAGGGTTGTGAGGTGCCTGTGATTGAGGGGCCATCTGTCAGAGCAGCGGGGTTCAGGGAGAGCCCCAGCTCTGCCCTGTACCACTCCCCCCAATACGTGTCCCGTGGGCTTTACTACTCTGGAAAGGTCCTCATGGCTGAACACTGAGAGCTGGAAGGGCCACCTCTGTATTACCCAAAAAGTGTAATGAAGAAGTTAGGGCTGCTGTTTTGAAAGCTGCCCAAAGAGGATTTGGATGCTCAGTTCTTATTAAAAACTAGTGAGAAAACAAGTGCCAAAATCCTGGCTTTGACATCGTAAATCTACTTGCACTGAATAAAAGCAAGAGAGAGTGCTGAGAAAGACAAATGCCTCTTCAGTTGACTGAAACTAGTTGATATCATGTCAGATTCAAAGAATTTATTTTTCTCCTTCTGTCTTTCCTTCTCCACCTACTCCAAAATGGAGGGTGGGAGTGGGGACAAAAAACCCACCTACAAAATGTTAGAGTTATTTTGATGGGTTTGATTTTGGAATTATATTATTCTCTTTAATTCAATTTCATTTTTATAGGGAATTTTAAAAAAACAAACAAATCAAAACCAAAACCAAACACTAGTCAAACAAAAAATTAAATTCTTGTACTGTTGTAGTGAAAACTGTTTCTGGGTACAGGATCTGCCAGTCTTTGTGTGGATTAGCCTAAACTGGGTGAAATAATTGAAAATAGAGAAATGTACTTTTTTCATCATCAATAGAATATTTTCATATTCAAAGGGTGGGGGGGAAAAGTTAATCAAAGCTTTATCTCCACTTAACAAAAATATTTCCATCCATTTTACCCATATGCGTAAGTCACAAGAAATAAATGAAAACTGATAAGTTGAAAAAACACACTAGAAATGAACAGAAATGTTAGCAATGGTTCCTCCAGTTACCAACTATTTTTATGTCTCACTTTAAAGGGGCACTGTTAAAGATAAAAATGCTGTGGATAGTAGAGAGGACCAATATACCTTCTTTCTAAACTAGAAGCTGAGCTCTGTCTTTTGGTAGTCTAGGTAACTAAAGTCGATTTTATGCAATGAAAAATAATTTCTTCTAAACATTAATGATTCCTGATTTGGCATATATCTGATCTAGTTGTAAAGGTACTGAACTTTCTTTAGGAGTCCTAGGAGAACATCTATATCCAAATCAAATCCCACTTGTAGCTGTACTAATAAAAGTTCATCCATGTGATTGAAGGGAAGTGTCTGATATGTTTGTTTGGGTCATTAATACATTGTCCATGATGTCCTGAGATACTTAAGTATTTTTCAGTTTTAGTTTTATAGATTTGTTAATGTCATCACACATAAAGATTAACAGGTCTCACAGCATGTTAACTGGGACGCTTGCTCTTTGAGTTTCACAGTTAACACTAACATAAACTAGTCCGGGTCCTCTTTCCAGAAAGGACCCAAAGTGTGTTTGAAAACTAGCACTGTTACACAGCTTCACGTTGCCCATAGTACACCTTGCTGCAACTCAAGCTTTCTGACCCTGATTTATATGTATTTGCAGATGGGAGAAGGGATCACCAGACGAGGAGTCACCTGTCATCTATATAGTATATCTGCAGGTTGCTTCACATTGGTATCATGCATCCCAACTAAAGGTAACCCTGACATTTTTTCTTTCATCTGTTGATACTCTTGGTGGTGTTGAAGTTATCTGTGTTCCAGCTTAATGCAGAATGACTGAAGTGTGCTTTTTTCCTTCTTATGTTTGGGTTTTATTTTTTATTCATTGTTATCCTCTCCATAGTGGGAAGCCTATTGCTGCAGTAGCAGTGGAATCCAGTGATTTGAAACTTAAGCTCTGCTGGGGACTGTCCAGTATAGTTTGTTACCTTGAGATTGGAGGTGTGTGTAAAGGAGCAACAGATGGAAGCTGCACAATTAAAAATGCAGACCAGAAGACAGTGTAAATCGCTGGAAACCTAACTATGCTAGGAGTTTCCAATGAAAGGCTGTTTGCAGATCTGTAAACAAGTCTAAACACCTCTTACTGTGATGGTGGTACACAACTCTCTACAGGTTTGACCAGCTATGTCAGAGAAGCTGAAGATTGTACATTGTTACTGAGGTGATATATTCAGAGTGTATTGATGTGTACAGGTTATGGATCTTGCTCTGTACAAGATGGACAACTTGTATTGTCTGATATTTTTTATAAGTAATGAACACTTGAAACTTCAAGTAGGTTCAAGTCCATGAGAGTTGCCAGTGCCACAGAAAGATTAAAAGTTCCTGCTAGCCATTTTCCTTTAGCTTCTTTACTGAAACACTTCCACTTACTTATTTTAGAAGGACCACATATTCCCCTAGACAATTTCTTGGATTTCCTGTTCCTGTCAGTGCCAGATACCAGTGCCAGTGATTTTTCTCCTGCCTATTGTGGTTACAGTATTTCTTCTATAGAAATCGTCTAGAGGCCACAGACTAATTTTACTAAAGTCAGTAGACGGGAATTACATGGCATTGACTCCTGGGCTCCCTCCGTCTGTTTCAGATTATAACTATTGACCTAGAGGTGAAAGGCTCTATATCCCATTACCAATTCCCTGAGTTATACGGTTCCTTATAACAGCATTTTAAACAGATGATGGAGGATGCTAGTATTCAATAGCATCAGTACAAATAGCACTTACTCAAATTTACTGGCAAAGATACCTTCCAGATTTTGTTTTCGAAGAACAGATAAATATCTGTATGTGGCTGCACTTATGAACTCCTTACAAAATCCTTGAGTCCTTATGGATCTAAAATTTTTACTGAAGACAAATATCTTAAGAAAGAGTTAAAGACATGAAGATCTGGATTTGTTTTAGAATTCTGGCATGCTATTATTCACAACAATATTCTGGATATAATAAAAGCCTTGAATTCAGAAAATCCCCTGGTACCACATTTTCCTATTTTGAACACCAGTGTTCATTTGAGATTGGGACTTAGCACACTTTCTCATTACTGCTATCTTAAAAGCTGCACAACTTTGCATTTCAGTTCTATTGTTTCGTGCGTATGTCTGAATAGAGAAGAACTGAGATAAAAAGAAATAAGAGTTAGGGAGGGTAACTCTTCTTGCTATTGAATGCAGGTGGAAATCTACATCATCACCACCTGTTACATATATTAGTTTGTTTGTTTTTCACTTTCATCCTTACTTTAAGCAACAGATGTTGTGTCCCATCCTGCCTTTATTATCCTCTGACCAGTTTTTGGTTACCTCAGAGAACACAAATTAAGCTGCTAGACATCTCAAAAATTATACAAAATTCTTATATTTTTATATAAAAAGTATGTGACCAGATCTATTGAAAAAAGACAAAGCACCAGAATTTGGTATGGAAGAACATGAAGGTTTGCTTCAATATAATTTAATTTCTGTGGTCTGATTTTTATTTTTTTTTTTTAAATTTTTTTTTCCCCCATCCTCTCACTTGCTCTGGAATACCTCCACTTAAATCAAAAGTGTTGCACTACCAAAAAGTCCATGGCAAATAAGTCATTTTGGCCCATATAATTAAAATTTATTTGCACAAATCCCAGGTAAGATTTTGTAGAGTTATTCTGGTAAAAGTGTATAGAAAACACAGTTTTAGGCAATAAGCACTATAGCTTAGAATCGTCCACATCTGATTCATGTTGAACTTCTTTTATAAAAAGTAACCTCAGAAAAGCAAACTGGTTCCAGACACACTTAAACTATCAAATTGTTTTCATGTACTTCTAAGTAGTGTATGCATTCTAGGTATAAAGTTTTTAAGTTACTGCTATTCCTCAGGCCTCTATGAACTTGTAATTTCCAATACTGTCGTGTGACTGTACTGTTATTTTTTGTTCTTATTTGTGCAGTGGTAAAATTGTTACAGATTGGCAGTGCCACAAAGAGATAACTTTTTGACATTAGCCTCACTACATTTGGCTAACAATTAATTACACATTTTTAAAAGAAATTCTGAAACAATGGAAAAAGATGTATGAAGGTACATGAGACCTGGAAGCTATGACCTATTGAGCTATACATTTAACATGCCTATGCTTAATAGCAAGAAGCAAGACACCAATAACAAATTAAAAATAAATTACACACAGTTAATTATAAAAGATACAATCAGTACACAACTACAAACAGGAAAAAATTATCTAGTTTTTTCAACAATTTGAGCCTGTGAACTTGCAAAATGTATCTGACTTTTCTTTCTTCTTTGATACTATGCATATGGAAATGAAAAGAAAATCTACTTTTTGGTGTCTCTTTATTACTACAAAACAAATGTGTATCAGATGTGTGGATGTTGACTGAAGTGGGATAAGTTTTATTTGGTATGCCAACAAGAAAATTGCTTAAGTGAGGAAAAGACAAGGTTTAGAGAAGCGATGAGTTGCAGATACTGTATCAAAAATGAGAGTACAGAAAAGGTTAAATAATGAACAAAAAGTGAAGTAGAAAAACAGAAGATAAAAGAAATAAGAGTTAAAGAGAAGCCTAAATAGAAGGACAATACAGTATAGTGAAACAGCTGATTCAGGGTAGCATTTCTGGTATTAATCAGAAAAAAAAATTTGGATATAAGATAAAGAGTATCACGTGTCTGCTTTTATAGTGAAATATAGCAAAAAAGAATCTGAGAGAAAAAGGAATCTCTTTCAACAGCTTTTCTTTGAAAATCATCACTGAGGAATATTTATATCATTCATTGCACACCAAAACCAGAAGCAGAATTCTTATTTTTGAGTATGTTTTCTCCTTTGACCCTTCCAGGTATCTTGAAACCTGTGAATAGAAGTCACAAAATGTTTAGAAAAAATAGTTTGGAAACTCTCAGTTAAGAATGACCAGGGTTTCAAATAAGACATCTGTTGCCAAATGAGAAATAGCAAAGGGAAAAAAAAAAAATCTGAAGCTTTCATAAATTTCCTTGTCATTAGCAACATTAACTGGAAAGTGGAGCAGTCTGGAAGGAAGTGGGCAGATTAAATATAGCTAAGTCTGCCACATTTCCATCTGCTTTTATGTATCCAAAACAGAAAAGAGCCACCTGCTAATCAGAAGCAACCCATCTCATTTATGAATGCAATTAGTCTTTTTTAGTTAATCATCTTAATTAGTTTTGAAATCTTTAAACATACGGGAAAACAGCACAAGATCAAAAGATAATAGTTCTACAAATGAAAGTTGTAAAAATATGATGAGTAATCAAATGAGTTCAGGACAAAATCGTGAAAATTGCAGCATAAACAAGATTGTGGTAAAAATAATAATTAAAACCCCAACCAATCTAAACAAAACCTCATCTAAACAAAACATATGATAAAAATGGAAGAGGGAGAAAACAGTAAGAATTATCTCCCTAGTGCCTTAATACCTTTCTCACCTCCAAATATCCCACAGTACAAACACAGACTGAGGAAAAGGCAAACAGAACGTGCTTGGTTCACCATATTTAAGTGTGTTGGTTAATTGTCCAGACCTCCTTCATTTAGGCTTCAGTTGATTACTTTTTTTTTTTTAGGTTATGTGTTTTGCTTCATATAAAAAAATACATAGCTAGATTATTTACATATCAAACATTGCCATTAGAGCAATCATAAATGAATTTTTAGATATTCTCAAGACTTTTACTCATTTTGTTTGTTTGGTTTTGTTGATACAGCTGTGAGCATGGTAAAATGAATCCATGGGATCTGTACAAAAACGGGTGTTGCAGTTCCATGAAAGCTTTCACTAAGGAGCAGAGCACCCAGATGCTTTGCAAGCTGCCTTTGAAAGCATAGCTTTGTGGTAGGTACAGGACTGGGTTTATTTGTGAGCACCATTTTTGACCTGCTTCTCCTGGTTAGTTGTTAGTTGGAAGCAGTTATAGTTTAGCTTTGGTCAACCAGATTCCTGGCCTTTTGGGGCAAAACTCATGCCTTGAGTAACTTGAGTGAAATCGCTGGACAGGACCTGATTATTTAGCTGTTTTATACTGCTATGATGTCTCCATCTAAGAGTTCATTTCCACTTTTATTTTCCCTTTAATTTCCCTGACAGCAGTCATCCTTTCTGCAAATCTACACTTCCAGGGTTAAATCTTCCCAGGGCCAAGAACTAGAGCACATGTATCTGATACTTTGGGATGTTCTGGAAATGGGAGGCTATGTTCATGAACAGGCTTATGAGTACAGCTGTACTGGTGGGCAGGGAATAGTGCCAAGCCCCTCATCAGTACCAGGAGACCTTGCGCACAGAGGTGCTGAAGCACTGAAATGTGGACTCACCCATCCAGCACGAGGAGATTCATGCAACCATAGAATCATAGAATGGTTTGGGTTCTAAGGGAGGTCAAAGATCATCTAGTTCCACCCCACTGCTAAGGGCAGGGACACCTCCCACTGGACCATGTTTCCCAAAGCCCTGTTCAACCTGGCCTTGAACACTTCCAGGGATGGGGCATCCACCACTTCTAGGCAACCTGTTCCAGACTTTCATTATCACAATAAAGAATTTCTTCCTAATATTAAATCTAAATTTACCCTCTTCCAGTTTCAGATAGTTACCCTTTGTCCTATCACCGCAATCCCTGATAACGAGTCCCTTCCCATCTTTCCCGTGGGTCATCTTTGGGTACTGGAAGGCTACTATGAGGTCTCCCTGGAGCTGTCTCTTCTCCAAGCTGAACAGCCCCAACTGTCTCAGGCTATCTTTGTAGGAGAGGTGCTCCAGCCCTCTGATCATCTTCGTGGCTCTCCTCTGGACTCATTCAACAGATTTACCTAATCTGCCTGCCAGTCAGAGGCATCAGAGTTGCAAATTTACAATCTCAATAGCTAGCATATCTGGGAGGTGTGCGGTATGTCTCTGCCCTCCCTTTATGGTGATATCCCCATGGATGAGCTGCATTAGAATCATAGAATCATAGAATCATAGAATGGTTTGGGTTGGAAGGGACCTCAAAGATCATCTAGTTCCAACCCCCCTGCCATGGGCAGGGACACCTCCCACTACAGCAGGTTGCTCAAGGCCACATCCAGCCTGGCCTTGAACACTTCCAGGGATGGGGCATCCACAGCTTCCCTGGGCAACCTGTTCCAGTGTCTCACCACCCTCATAGTAAAAAATTTCTTTCTGATATCTAATCTGAATCTTTTTTCTTCCAATTTAAAACCATTTCCCCTTGTCCTATCGTTACCCTTCCTGGCAAAGAGTCCCTCCCCAGCTCTTCTATAGGCACCCTTCAGATATTGAAAGGCCGCTATAAAGTCTCCCCGGAGCCTTCTCTTCTCCAGGCTGAACAACCCCAGCTCCCTCAGCCTGTCTTCATAGGAGAGGTGCTCCATCCCTCTGATCATCCTCGTGGCCCTCCGCTGCACCTGTTCCAGCTGGTCCATGTCCTTTCTGTGTTGACTCCAAAGCTGGACACAGTATTCCAGGTGGGGTCTCACGAGTGCAAAGTAGAGGGGCAGAATCACCTCCCGTGACCTGCTGGGCACACTTCTCCTGATGAGCTTCTTTGCTGTTGACATCACAGAGGGCACCAATAGCTTCAGTCCTACAAAGACAACCTGCATGCAGCTCACTGCTGTAGGCTTTTTGGCTGCCTAGATATGAAGTGTGCTACATGCGTTTTCTAAGGAAATACTGCTTCACTCAGCAGAGCAATACTGTCATTTAGCAGGTTGATTTGCTACAAATGTGTTCCTATGGTTAAGTCGGGATGTGTCTGGTGACGTACAGGTCCTGTTTCACAGTATGTACATGTAATCTAGTTTCCTTATAAAAGAGCAAACAGGTAGTCTGCAAGACATACCTGGAGTGTCGGAATGATCGAAAGGTAGGCTTTTAACATGAAAGAGACTTTTGGGATAAAGATGAGGAAGAGTGAGTTTTAATTAAAAAACCTCTCAGCTTATCTTCTCACTCAAGGGAACATGATTTTTCAACCATTAAAAGCAACTGGAGCATTGCAGTTCTTTTCTTGTGGAAGGAGAAATAGGTCCTAACAGAGTGAGGCTTACACCGTGCAATTCAGAAAATTTCAGGTGTGCCCAATTTGCTATGCATATGTTGCAGTACTGCATGCAAGATGCAGTTTCTCCACCCTGACATGCTTTCAGGAGTGGGATGCATGGGATGGCTAAAGAGGGGGGTGTACACATAGCCCACCTTTTCCAGAACAGCCTGGACAACAGTTAGTAAGATAGGGAGGTGTCTGCTGTGTGTTCATGCCATGCCAAACTCCCAGCATGCTAAAGAGAGAGAAAACCATAAGTGGGATGAAACAGTAACCAGGGAGTTGTAGGGAAACCTTAGAAAAAGGAGTCAGCTTGAAAAGGAGTGACAAAATAGCAAGAATTTTGGATGTTTGTGAGTGCAAATTAATAGTTTGTTAATGCCAGTGTAGTGATTCACCTGCTCTTTTGTGGGTATCGATCCCAAATGTGTAGTTTTGGTAGTTCTTTACAAGTTGTTAATAAATTGATAAACTGATGTAAACTGTGTAAATTGAGTGGATTTTTTTCCCTGTTATGCTGCTGAACAGCAAGATCAGGCAGTTGTGAGAGAATGGAAAATGAAAAGAGTGAACTGCAGAGAATATTTTGCTCTCTTACAGTATTTGACTGTCCTGTTGCTCAGAGATATTACAGCTCCTCGGTGTGTTTTTGCCTTAAATAGTGTATGGGTTGTACTGATATAGTTGTTTCTTTACTATGTAGTTACAAGAAAAAAAAATATAAATTTGGGCCTATATCCAACAACAAATTAACTTTTTTTCCACTCTATGTAATATGTATTGAATAATGGATAAAAGGGAAAAGAGAGAGGTAAATAACTCCACAACTCCTTCCTTTACTTCAATTACTAAAAAAAAAAAAAAAAGAAAAAAAAAAAAGGGCAGGTGTTTGAAAAACCCTGTCATATAAGATTTCCACTTTCTTTGGAAAGCAAGAACATTGAAGTGAATCTACAATTGCTGGTTTCCTCTAGAAACAGTAACACTGACCTTCCTCTAATCCTTTTGACCCACTATTGTAAGGCTGCTTATAAACAGAAATAGAAACCACATGCTGTCAGTCAGGGCATCCTTAATTTCTCAGCCCAAGTCAAATAAAGCTATACCTTTCATGAAAGAGCTCATAATTTTTCTCCTTTCTTGCAGCTGAGAAGGAGCATAATGGATAGTGACACTGAAAAATCACAGGTGGGTAAAAGCTGTGGCAACACCTTTTAGAGCTGAAAAATATCCATCCAAAAGATAAAAGTATGTGGTTGGTTGGGTTTTTTTTGTTTGTGTGTGTGTGTGAGTGCTCCTACAAACAGCTTCTCACTTATTTCTAAGTGGACAATTTTCCAAGTAGGTAATTCCTAAACCAGTCTATCACAAAATACCAAACAGCCATTGATCACATTCATGGTGACACTTGATACTGTACCATTTTTTTCCTTGCTCCCCAGCGTGCCAGAGAGGCTGCTGGTGGCCTATATGGGGGCCACTTGCTTTTGGGGGTGGAGGAGCACTGCAGTTTTTAGTGTGAACAGGGGGACCCAGTTAAGCCCTTGGTTGTCCCCATATATCCCATGGTGTTTCATTGGGCAATTTTAGTGCATGTGAAATAGATTCCTTCAAAGGAAAAATAAACTGCTCCAGGTGTTTGCCAGAGAGGAAAATGTGTGTGAACCAACAGTTCTTTTTGAGCCACCTCTGAACTATGCACACACTAGGGATGTTCAGTCAGGCAATCAGACTGACTGTAGGCCAAAGCAAAACAAAACCCCAAAATGCCTATAGCATAGATGTGAGGACCTCAGAAATACTTGCTTCCACAAGAAAATCTTTCCCTTTTGTGCTAGTGTAGATAAAGCCCAAAGTAAATTCCAGTTTGCAGAACTGGGTATTCTCATAAACGACTTTTAGTTACATATAAATATCAACAAGGAAAAAAAAGGGAATGATTAAATAAAAAAACAATTTTTAGAGAAGTCCTGATTGCTTTAGATGTCTTGAAAGATACCATCCGCATAGGAACAAAATCAAAATTCAAGTTACATGTACTCATAAATACTCCATTAGAAGGACTCATGTGACTCGTCTCTAGAAGATAACTTTATACCAGCAGAAAAAGAAAAAAAAAAAAAGGCAAAAAAGTTGTGACTATTGTTTTTTAAGAGCTGATTGATATCGTTGCCATTTTCTTAACATTTTAGTCCTTTGGCTGGTCATAACTGCCACTGTGCCTTGGGTTTTGATTATGTATAAGAATGGGTTACACAAACATCTCTCAGGATTGGGTCAGGTATTAACAATCCTGCTGTAAGGTTGGGGGCTGCACTAAACCACCTTTATTGATCCTTTGGGGTGCTATTTTTTGTATTATTCCTATTATTCCATATCTTCCTGTTAGTGATTCATGGTAAGGTATTGTCGGGTATGCTGTGTATCAAATAGCTTGGATGATGGATTGCCATCCCAAATATCAAGCAATTCGAGTGATGGATTTTCATCCCATGACAAGTCAGGACCAATTGCTCTAGGGGTCAGAACGGAACTGATAGTGAGGCTGTAGTTTGGAACAGCACAGAGATTATATGAAACCTTATGTTTCCATGAAGTTCCTAATTTGCCCCAAAGTTCCTCATTTATAGTAAAAAAAAGTCTGGATACTTAAGTGTTTCTATGATCCAAATATTTGAGTGTTTAAAAATAGCAATGGAAATTAGATATGACTGAAGTTTTTTCTAAGTTACTTGGAGATCTGTGGATATTTAAGGGATCAGTCTTTACTTGTTTTTCAGGGATATGGAGTGACAGAAAACGGCAACCGATCAGAAATCCCATTGCTTGTAGGAATGGTTTTGGTTATGAGGCCAAGTTGTGTGAGTATCTCTCTCAATTTGGAGGTCGTCAGGTTTCTCCTGAAAAAAAAAGTAATACCAGTTAGCTGTTTATAGCAAGATCTCTGAGAGCAGATCCAGGTGCAAGCTCGTGTCTGTGTGTGCTACCTTACTGAAGAATCAAGACTGGGTCTCCCATACGTCAAGCTTAGTACCTATCACTCAGTGCTTCCACCTACTCACACAATGGTCCTTCCCACTCTTGCTGCTGCTGCTTCACCTCATATAACTATTTAATTGGATTGGAGAATGACTCTGTAACCCATCCAGCTCGTATGTAAAAGCCTTGCTCCAAACAGTTTGTGCATGTGTGTTTGTTTACGTGAAATGGAAGGCTCTCATTAAGAGAGACTAAAACATACCCTTCTGCTAGGAAATGGCCTAGCATTTTGTGAGATATGGGTTTGTGTATTTCTCACAAGATACCTTTTGTTTAGAAAAAAATCCATATTAAAAACTGCAAACTGTTGTAAATTTTTCAACTAAAAATGTAATTGCAATATTTGTATTTTTTCTTTACATTGTGCTTTAAAGTTGTGAGAAGCTATTGGTTTGGGGACAAAAATTTCTGCCAAGGTCATTCTATTTGCCGCATAACTTACATTTGTTCACTTACATCAGGAGGACCCTGCAGCGCGCAGCAGTTCCTTGAGATGACAATTATTCTGATTTGGAATTTTGTGTACAATAATTAAACAGTCAGGTACCAGCAGACATGTGTTACCCTGAGATAACACACTCCTTGGAAGTATCATGAGACAGAAGGTGAAATTAGTGCCTCCAATGACCTGGGAAACACATTATCTCACCACTGCACAAGCTTGAGGGCGTATTGTTACTGTATACCAACTATTAGCATTATTAGTTGCATTGTGATTGATTGTGCCATGTAAAACATATGTTTAAAACATGTTCACTGTTGTGTATCATGTGATAATTATGTCTGACTCTGAAGGACCAATATATCAGGTGTGAGTTGATAGGAGCATGAAGTATTTTTTTTTTTTCACTGGGATATGCAAGACTGGCTGAAGTCATCGTGAAGGAACTTTAGCGTCAGAGTCCCACAGCTTCTGCAAAAGCAGCATCTGTGATGCAGCAGAGAGTACTCACACACGGTTGGCTAAAGTGGAGTGTTCACAGCCATTGTGTATTATGGTTATGTGATGCTTTTTTACAAATATTTGTGTGCATCCATGTGTTTGCATACCCAGAGTGATCTTCTCAGTGTTTATTTTTAACCTGCTATTATTTTTGTCCTCCCTTCCTGTGCCTGGTGCTGTCAGTTGTTTCATTATTCAGGTGACTGACAAGAAGCATTTTTTTCCACCACTGAAGAGCCTGGCACTGTACCCAGGACACGGGCGGGCTGGTTAGCTCAGCCCTGGCAGACAAAGAGCTTTGTGCTGCCTGCTCCTTCTCACAGCTCTGCAGCGAGGCACCGCATCAGACAGAAAAGAAGGTCTATCTTTAATCTGAGCTACTCGGGAAATCAAAGGAGGTGGATGAAAACAAGAGCGGTGACTGATTCCCGTAGGAGATCACTTTCCTGTTCCATTTGATATAATGAACAGGATAATCAAAGCAAGGTTAGAAACCCCCTGTACCTTTTCTCCAAGGATTTTTGTGATGTCAATTCACAAGGTATTAAAATAATTGAACACACGTGTGATAATGATTTAAAAAATAGTTTCCTTTTCTACCTTAGAATAATTTACATACAGCTGCTCTGGCGAGGTGCATGTCTTATGACTCATCAGCCTTGTAGTTAAACATGTTAAATCTTATTACACCTGCAGCTGTTTGTTTCTTTGCCTCTTAGTGTCTTTTGGTCTTTGCTAAAAGTAGTTACGGTGCCCACATAAAGACTATGTTTGAAAGATACAGTGGGTTGTTGCTTTTTAAGTTCAAATCCAATAATGAAGCAGAAATCGGGTTCACGCTTAGAGAGAAGAGCATTAGGAGGAAGATGGATGCTGTGGAAAAGAAGGACCAGGTTTCATTGGATAGTAAGGTAACAACCTACCAACTCATGGTAATTGCTCTTTCCTTTTAAAACCATTGTGCTGCCAAGGCTGTGCTGGTTTCTCAACATGGATCCCTGGAAGGGCAAGTACGAGTTGCTACCCGTGTCCTGAAAGGTGGGTTGTCCCTGGGGCTTCCGCTGTGGCTCAACATATGAAGGTCTTCCTTTGCATGTCCTAGCTCAGTGTTGGGGGACACAGTCCTACGGAGGGGGGAAGTGTGGCCCTTGAGCTGCCTCCTGCTGCATTTGCTGCAACGTCCCAGGAGAATTCAAGAGAAATGTTTCCTGGGCTGGCACTAATGCAGTGACCCAGAGTCCCCCCGTCAGCTCTCATCGTAGCTGGTGCCACGTGAAAGCACAAGTAGTGCTTTAATGCAAAGGGAAGCGTTATATTCTTTACTGGCAATACCTGCCATATAAGTGAAATGTGCTACTCTAATGTGTTATAGACAAGTCTGGGAGTTCTTTTTTTTCTTTTTTTTTTTT